GTATTTTTTAAAGTATGTTATTTATCTGAAAGTCCCATTTAACTGGGTATCCTATACTTTTATTTGTTAAATCTGACAACCTGAGTCCAGGCTTTCCTGGGGCTTCCAGACTTTCTTTATTGGCTCAAAGGCCCAATACACAAATAATATGAATTTGGAATTGAGTGAGTAAGATAAGAGTACCATTCCTGGAGTTACACTGCTTAGGTTCATATCCCTGCCCTACCACTTCCTAGGTGTGTGGTCTTAATATAAGCCTCTGTCTTCATCTATAAAATGTATCAAGTGAACTATAAGAAATAATTCATATGGAGGATTTTAGCATTGTTCTTAGCATGTGTAAGTGTTCAAAAAGAACTTTTACTCCTCTGGGAAAACAAGTCAGAAAGCACATAACTATTAAGTGGGTGCCACCAAGTAGAAAGTCAAATGTTTTTAAAAAAATAATAAGATTACAAATAGGATAGCATGTAGAGGAAGAAGGGAACATGGCCAGGCAGCAAATACAGTATTGAGAATACATACCTCTGTGGAAATGGAGAATGCAGAAAATAAGCTGGTTTGACCCTGTTGATAGGAATTGTGTGGTTCTGGGCTTCAATTAAAACAAACAGGGCTGGGGATGTAGTTCAGTGGTGGCACTTGCCTGCCATGTACAAGGGCACTGGGTGTTCCATCCCCAGTTCTGAATGAATAAATAGAAACCTGAAGATTCTAAAAAGAGAACAATGTTAAAACCAAGGTGGAGGGCGTGGCGGGGGGCGGCGGGGGATGTGGCTCAGCAGTAGAGTGCTTGCCCAGCATTCATGAGGCCTTAGGTTCAACCCCCAGCACTGGGGTTGGTGGTGAGAGAAACTCTCTAAAAAGTGAACTCACCAGTTGACCCCACAAAAGGCAAAAGGGAAATTTAACAACTTCACTGGGCTTTGTTGTTAGGTTTTGTTTTGTTTTGTTTTGGGCTGGTGGCGGGGAGAGGCACAGGTGATATTGGGGATAGAACTCAGGCCCTTTACCACTTAGTTACATCCCCAACCCCTTTTTTTTTTTTTTTTTTTTTTTTTTTTTGTAGACAGGGTCTCACTTAATTGTCCAGGATGGACTTGAATTTGCCATCTACTTCAAATAGCTCAGCCTCCAAGTAAGTAGCTGGGATCACAGATGTACACCTCTGCACCTGGCAGAGTATTTTAAAAGAATTTACATACATCTGGCTAAAGTTTGAAATAGGAATAAGTAGTTCCCTGCCAATAGAAAGTAAGTCCAGGGTTTAGCACAGATAACATTTTCTTCTCTGAAAAGTCTCAGAAATTGGGGGAAATTTTATGCTCTTTGGGATGGTCTAAATGTCATTCTTTCTATGTGAGAGATCAGATGATTTTTTAGGGCCCTCCCCAGGTCTACAATCTATACTGACATTTCAAAAGCCAAATATGACAGCATGTTTGTGCAGGAATTGCTGTCTTAGGCTACTCTGCCTGAATTCATTTAACCTGGGACATGGGCACTATGACTCCACTTCTCTTCAAAGTCAAATAACTAAGCAACACTAATCTTTTTTCTAACATCCCCCCCACCAAAAAAAAAAAAACAGAATTACTATAGGCTCAGGAAATAATTTTAAAATTTATATGCTTCTCTCATATAGAGGACCTAGGACTATAGAGGTGAATGTTTTTAAAAACTTGATGACATTTATGATGAATACCAAGTTTTAGATTATTCATAAAATCTGATGGCATATACCTGTAATTCCAGCTACTCCGAAGGACAAGGCAGGAGTTCGAGTTCAAGGCCAACTTGGGCAATATAGCAAGATTCTGTCTCAAAATAAAACTGTAAAAAAAAGGGCTGGGGATATAGCTCAGGTAAAACACAAAGGACTGAAAGTTCTGTTCAGTGGTAGAGCACTTGCTTAGCATGCTCAAAACTCTAGATTCAATCCCCAGCACCAAGAAGAAGAAGGAGAAGGAAAAGCAGAAGGAGAAGAAGATGATCTACTCCTTTTGGGTGTTTGGCTTCTTAATCTGTTTTTTCCTTTGTTTCTGCAAATTATGGGAAGAATTTAAAGACATATTACTGGTGCTGAAATAATTCTGGACTTGCATTTTTCAAGGATTATGTAGCAGGGGAGAGTAAAAGGTTAAGTTAGATAGTTGATATCCATCCAACTGAAGAAAAAACTAAAAAAGAAAACAAGGAGCTGGATGCAGTGGTGCATACCTGTAATCCCAGTTCTCAGGAGGCTGAGGCAGGAAGATCATAAGTTTGAGGTCAGCCTCAACAATTCAGTAAGGTCCTGTTTCCAAATGGTAAATAAAAAGGGCTGGGGATTTAAAATGCCCCTGGGTTTAATCCCCAGTACTACAAAAATAAATTCAAAAGCTAAATAATTTTAAACAGTAAAGAAGCTGGAATGTGAAACAATAATAGGACTAGGACCATTATCTTTTTTTTTTTCCTACTTCCATTTTCATAAGATCGTAGAGTGTTAGAAATGAAAAACATCTTAGAAATAAATCTACAGTAAAATCTCAACTCATCCTGGTCTCCTGTAAATTTCCTTTACAGAATAATGCCTCAACAAAGGCTCACTGAATAGGTAAGAAGGTGGAGGATGGCACTGCCTAGTAATTCACAGAAGAGAGAGACCTCATCTATTAGTGAAGATACAAACTGGACCAGTGGTATACACAGCAGGAGGATTGCAAGTTTGAAGACAGCCTCAGCAACTTACTGAAACCCTGTCTGAAAAATAAAATAAGGGCAGGGGGTGTAGTTACTTTTAAAATAAGGGTAGGGGATATAGTTACTTTGCTAAAACTCCCTGGGTTCGATCCCCACTAGTGGAAGGAAGGAAGGAAGGAAAGAAAGAGGGAAAGAGGGAAGGAAGGGACTACTTGTTATCATAGTGACCTATAACCTGAATTGCTATCACCATTAGATATTCCCTAGATCTATGAAGTATTTATGGTTTTTTTCTGTTTGTTTGTTTTTCTTGGTGCTGGAGATTGAACCCAGGGGTGCTTTACCACTGAGCTATACCCTGAGCCCTTTATATTTTTTTTTTTTTTTTATTCTGAGACAAACTCACTTAGGTGGTTAGGACTTGCTAAATTGGGAAGGCTGGTTTCAAACCCGTGATCCTCCTGCCTCAGACTCCCAAGGCAGGGATTACAGGTGTATGCCACTAAAGCCAGCATATTTATGGTTTTAAAATGTTTTCTTTAAAAGTATTTCATGCTCATCCTTTCCCTTCTCTATACATCCCTTCACCGCCATCTCCTTTGTTCCTTCCATCACTTCCTATCGGCTAGTTCTATACAATTTTGTGCCTCTACAACAAACAACTATTAGGCTTATTCCATGAAGGGCTATTCTGGTCACTTTTTAATGTTTACCACTTTGGAGTAAAAATATATCAACACTAGAGATACTTGAATACAATTACTCCTAATATCTTCAGCAATTCTAGTTTATAATCTAGTCATGTGTACCATGAAAAATGACCGTAGACTTCTCCAAAAGGAGTCTCATTGCAAGGATGTAAGGTTCTGTCCAAAACTATTTTCCCAGAGCAGAACATGTAAAATTCCATCTCACTTTCTGGAGTCTGGTGAGAAAAGGTATAAGAAGAAAAAGAATATTGCCTCTTCTTTCCAGAAATCTCTGAGTGAGCCCAATCACAAGACCAAAAAAGCAACCTAAAGGGCTAAAGAACAAACTTTAGCCTTTCTCCAACATAATAGCATCACATGTCATTAAACTGAATTGAGACTCTTTGAACAGTAATTGCAACCAAATTTGCTTTCCATAAAAGCAATCTCTTTCTACTTGCCATAGTACCTACTATTTTACCATAGGACTGTGTGGTGTTTATCTAGCTCATCAAATTTAGGACCCTATTTGCCAGAGAACTGGACAAACAGGAGACGGAAGAACTGGACTGTGTGCTGAGCTCATTCTTGTTGGCCTAAACCTGTCTGTCCTCTCCTTTGACAAGTGTGACAAGCAGCACTAGCCTACGCAGCCCTGACCACTTGTGTTATAGATAGCCCAAACTGAAGCAAGCTGTAAGTCAAAATTATACACTAGATTTCAAATACTAACTAAATTTTTTTTCCAAGAGTTAAAGCTGCTCTTTTGGTTTTTGTTTGTTTTGTACTGGGGATTGAATCTAAGGGCACTCTACCACTGAGCTACATCCCCAATCCTTATTAATCTTTAAAACAGGGTCTCACTAAATTTCGGGGGTTGACCTTGAACTTGGGGTCCTCCTGTTTTAGCCTCTGGTGTCGTTGGGATTATGGGTCTGCGTCACTGCAGCTTGCTTCATTGATTGCATGTTGCAATCTTACTTTGGATATATTGGGTTAAATAAATATATAATTTAATTGGTTTATTTTTTATAAGCACATGGGAAATTTTTGATTTCTGTGTGAACCACATATTTCTATAAGCAAGCACTGGTTTACAGGATGACAAAAATAACCATACATTTGAATCGTGCCTTGTCTTTGGAGTGTTCTTTTATATCTATTAAGGGTTTCTCACAAAAACCATCCAATATATTAAAAGCTATATCTCTGCTCTAGCAGGATCTAATCCTGGTCACTTCGTCTAGAATTTCAGTTTATAGAAACGGGCAAACCTTGTAATGCATTTTAAGGGAAGAGGACCCAAAGAACATGCTGCGGAGTTTGCCTCAAAGAAGTCCCTTGGGGGTAGGGAGCGGCAGGAAGGAGAAGACTGCAGACCGGGTACCCGAGGACTCTCGGCGGAGGCCTCCGGCACCCCGCGGCGGCCTCGGCACCCCGCGGCTGGGGGACCCAGCTCCCCTCCAGGCTTCCCCCTCCAGGCCCGCAAGCGACCTCCCCAAGATGGCCACTGCGAGGGGCGGGCCGTCCGCCTCGTGCCCGCCCCGCGCTGCCGCATATCGATTGGGTAAGACGACTTGGTGGAGAACTGTGATTGGGTCGCATGGCGGGAGTTGGGCGGGACCGGAAGGTCGTCCCAGCCCCTGGGTTCCGAGGGTCCCGGGCTCTGCGTCTGTCCCCGGGGAATGTGGAGAGCTGGCAGCATGTCCGCAGAGCTGGGAGTCGGGTTCGCATTGCGGGCAGTGAACGAGCGCGTGCAGCAGGCTGTGGCGAGGCGGCCGAGGGTGAGGAAAGGGCATGTGGGGGAACGATGGGCGGCCTCTGAGGAGGGGGACACCTGCGTGGGACTAGGTCGTCACGGTGACGCAGAAGTGTCTCCCCGAGGGGCGGGACCCGCAGGCGAAGCGTGAGCGAGGACTGCGGAGCCCCAGAAAGGCTAGCGAAGGATCTCCTCCGTGACCTCGAGTTGTGTCTGTTAGGTTCTCCAGAGGTTGGCTTTGTCGGTTCAAAAATTACCCACCACACAGTAAAAATGACTCGTCTCCAGATATCGGGGCCATTTTCCATTGCTTGGTGTAGGGGTCTTGTAAGACTCGAGGAGGGGCAGGCCCGTGCCTACACACAGGCTGCATGAGAAGTGTGTGATACCACAGCATGCAAGGGAGCCTCATCACCCGAGATTACGTGTGTGGCAGTGTCTGACAGCTAGTAGATGCTCAGTAAATGTCGTTTCCTCCCCTGGCCAACTAACGTGGTGGTGGATTGGCCCGACTTTGCAGGCACCAGAACTGCATTTGTGAGTCTGGAGCAGGAGGAAGCCGCCCCCAAGCAGTTTAAAAGGAGTGTGTTGTTGGGGTGTTTTTGTTTTTGTTTTTTGTTTTTTCTACCGTATATATTTTGTTGCCTCTTGGGCTTCCAGGATCATCAGTACATGCTCATCTCTGGGCAAGATAGCTGAATAGTTTCAATGACATGAACCCAAAGGATAAAGGCCTCTCTGATAAAGTGTTTATGGTTTCAGAACTCGGAATGCTGGCAAGAAGACAGAAGACCTGTATTCCAGTCTTTCCTTAACTACTAATTAGATGCTACCGTGAACAAATCATTTAACTACTCTGGCGCTCTGTTTCCTCTTCTGTACAGCAATAGAATGAACTCTGAAAGCTCTAAGCTTCTTCCTGGCATTAATATTTTATGATTATCAGTGATTCTCCAAGAAAAAAAAATCTAGGTTTTCCCCTAATAAACATCACTTTGGGAGGTTATCCCAGGGTCTCTGTCAGATAAATGGGCTGCCTATTCCACTTTTCCCTCTGAAAACTATTCATTCATCAGCATGATCCTAGGAATTTTGACATGGTCTCCTACAAAACTGATGGTCTTCCTAAGAAAGAAGAAAAATAAGACTTTTTACATTCAACTGGACTCCTACATGTCTTTGAGAATACTGTGATTCTATGAAAATCCCAGGGTGAGTGAGGGACATGAAGACTGACCTATATGGATTAATCAGTCTCTTCTCTGATTGCTTCTGTGTGGATTTGTTGCAGCAGAGTATACAGGGAAGCAGTGCTCTTTATGTAATTGGTATAGGAAGAGGTCAGATAGGTCTACACCTGAGTCCAGAATTGTTTGTGTTCTAGTCTCAGTTCTACCACTGGGTGGCAGAGTCTTAGATTGAACAATAAATTACATATCATCATCCATTCAGGCTACTTTTGGAGGAGATAGGCATGTTTACAGGTGGTTTGGACATAGACCTAATCAGACCACTTTTAGAATAAATGGGGCAATATTAATAATTAGGCCGAGGATGTGGGGGAAAAAGGTACACTCCTACGTTGTTGGTAGAAATGTAAATTAACACAACCATTTTGGAAAGCAGTATGGAGATTCCTCAAAAAACTAGGAATAGCACCACCATGTGATGATCCAGCTATCCCACTCTTTGTTATTTTTCTCAAAGAACTAAAATCAGCATACTCTAATGATGTGGTCACATAAATGTTTTTATCAATGCAATTCACAATAATCAAGTTATAGAACCAGCCCAGGCATCCATCAACAGATGAATGGATATAGAAAATATAGCATGTATACACAATAGAGTTTTACCCAGCTGTAAAGAAGAATGAAATTATGGCATTTGCTGGTAAATGAATGGAACTAGAGAACATCATGCTAAGTGAAATAAGCCAGACTCAGAAAGTCAAGGATCAAATGTTTTCTCTCATATGCAGAAGCTAGAGCAAAATAAAGGAAAGGAGGGCAGGCAGATACCATAAAAACAGCAGACAGTATAGTAAAGGAAGGGTATTGAGAGGGAGGAAGAGGGACAGGAAAAGGGAAGAACTAAAGATTGACAAAATTATGCTGTGTACATATCTGAATGTACTATAGTGAATTCTATCTCTGTATATCTATAAAGCACCAATTAATAAATAGGTATCCCAGTGAGCAGCAGGGAGACTGAGTCCAGGCATGTTGGAGCCAGTTTTACTTCCCCAGCTTGCAGCCAATAAATCACTCTTTTCTTTTCAAAAAAATAAATAGGTTGGACACAGTGGCCCATGCCTGTAATCCCAGCAACTTGGGTGGCTGAGACAGGAGGATCATAAGTTCAGGGCCAGCCTCAGCAAATTAGTGAAGTCCTAAGCAACTTAGAACAGCCCTGTCTCCAAATACAAAAATTTTTAAAAAAAAATGTTTTTTAAAGGTTTGAGGATGTGGCTAAGTGGTAAAACACCTCTGAGTTCAATCCCCAATACCTAAGTAAATAAATAGAAGGAAGAAGAAAGACCAGTAGAGGAGAGGAAGGGGAAGAAAAGGGAGGGAGAAGATTAGGGGAAGAGGAATCACTGGGGACTGAAACAGAACAAATTATATTCCATGTACGTATGATTATGTCAAAATCAATCCCACTTGTATGTATAACTAAAATGCACTAATAAAGACGTGTTTAAAAAACACCAAAAACCTAGAAGTTAATCTGGAACCTTATGCATAATCATCTGATTTCACCTACCATGAAAGAACCACAAGCTTAAAAAGGCCACCATATCCTTAAACAAAAAGTACTCCTTAGTCAGGAATAGTGGTGCATGCCTGTCATCCCAGTGCCTCCTGAGGCTGAGGTAAAAGGATCACAAGTTAAAGGCCAGCCCCAGCAAATTAGTGAGACCCTGTCTCAAAATAAAATAAAAACAAAAAGGGTTGGAGATGTAACGCAGTGGTAGAACATCCCTAGGTTCAATCCCCAGTACTGGGCAGGGAGCGGGGGAGTATTTCTACAAAGACATCTGCCCAAAAGCTGTGTTCAACCTCAGAATGACACCATTCTTGTTATTAATCATTGTGATGAAAGATAATTGTTTCAAAATATCTGATGTAATCTTCATTTTTGTCTTTTAAAACTTCCCTTTAGCCAGACTCAATGGTGCACGCCTATAGTCCCAGGGACTTGGGAGGCCAAGATAGGAGGATCACAAGTTCAAGGCCAGCCTCAACAACTTAATGAGGCCTTCAGCAATTTACTGAGAACTTGTCTCAAAATGAAAAATAAAAATGGGCTTTGGATGTAGCTCAGTGGTAAAATACCCTTAGGTTAAATCTCTAGTACCCCCCCACCCAAAAGAAACACTTTCCTTTGCCTCAACCTCCTTTAATACACCCATAGTTTACTGTAAGGCATGCATATTACCCTTGCAGTGCTCTGCTGTTCCCCAATAAATATTATTGTTCTTTGAAAAAAAAATAAAATAATTTTACCAGGGCTAGAGTAAGTTTCCAAAACTGTATCCCCTCTCTAATTGTGGAGGAAACAACTAACATTTTTCCTGTCTCAGGTTAAGCTATCATGCCCACAAGTATGAGGAAATTCCAGACCTGGAAACCCAAGCAATGGCTCTCTCAGGGACACAAGTTGGACATTTATTATATTTACTGATCATAATGCTTGCAGCACAGTCCTTGTATTCCCCTTTTAAAAACCCTCTGTTCCTCTGGCAGTTAGAATTGCATACAGCCTTTAATAGCTTAGTCTGCTGCTTTTCTCGTGTGCTAGCAAATTGGGAAAACTTTATCCTTTTTCTCAAAACCTTGTCCCCCGTTATTGGAATGTCATCATGGACAAGGACCAAGCCTCCCTTTAGTGAAGTGACTTTTTGGTTTTTTGTTTCTTTCCTTTTTGCAGTGCTGGAAACCCAGTGCCAGGAAGTGCTGTACCACTGACTACACTCCCGACCCCATGAAGTGATTCTTAAGTCTCCATGAAACTTCCTTTAGCCAGACTCAATGGTCTCCAACATTGGTGTACATGAGAATCACTGGAGAGCTTGTTGGAAAGGAGATTCTTTCCAGACATGGTGGGCATGCCTGTAATCCCCGAAGCTCAGAAGGCTAAGGCAAGAAGATCGCAGGTTCAAAGCCAGCCTCAGCAATTGGCAAGGCACTAAGCAACTTAGCAAAACCCTGTCTCAAAAGAAAAAGGGCTGGGGTTATGGCTCAGTGGTTAAGGGCCCTTGAGTTCAATCCCTGGTACCAAAAAAAAAAAAAGATTCTGAGGGTCGGGGGTATAGCTCAGTGGCAGAGTACTTGTCTGACATGGAGAAGGTGCTACATTTGATCCGTGACACCATAAAAACAAAACCAAAGGGAGATTCTCAGAACCCAGCCCCAGAGATTCAAATTCAGTAGATCTCAGTGGGATCCTGGTGATACTAATGCAGTTGATCAAAGACTGCACTTTAAGGAAATATTGCTTTAACTTGTCTAGCTCCCCTGAGAGAAATATCTTTTGCTGGTTATTAAGGTAGTTAACACTAAGTTGAGAAATCAGGAATATAAAAGACATTTATGAACCAGGTACTGTGATACACACCTATAATCCCAGCTACTTGGAAGGCTGAGGTAGGAGGATTGCAAATTCAAGGTCAGCCTGGGCAGTTTAATGAGTCCCTGTCTCAAAATAAAATACATTATTCACTGTGGGAGACCAACCTTGCACGTGACTGAGTCTCACTCCCTGGCTGGATGCTGAGGCGCTCAGTAGCAGAATGTGGCAAAGCTTTCCCCACCCTTTTTGGGTTTGAGGGATGGTGTCTCATGCATGGGTGTGTCTTGCTATAGACCCATGGGTGAAGCTACACTCACCTATTCCTTTGTAATATTACCCCTTGCCCTGTTTAGGATAAAATCTTCCATGGAAGTGCCTTGTGTGTGTCCCCTTCTCTTACTGTGCCCTTGAGTGTGGCCTACCCAGGTGTCAGTCAACCTGCTGACAGCAGACATCATGAAGCTGGACTCAGCCCCCTGAAACCTGACCCCTTGCCTCATCTGAATAGCTTCTCAATAAAAGGGGTCAGTGTGTGCTCGCTCTCCCTCCTCTCCCTCACGCGTGCGCTCGCTCGCTCTCTCTCTCTCTCTCTCTCTTTCTGTGGATCCTTAAGATCAGAGGAGCTGTCACAGCAACCCCAAAAGAAAAAGGTATTTGTGTCTCTTGTGTGGTTATTTCATGCAACCCAATTAGCCCAGTTTCCCTGGAGTGATCCCTGAGTTTTAGTCGAGAACGAAACCTGGCAATTCACTATTCTTTGATACTAATCTCCCTGAAATATCAGAAAAATGTATCTTACCAAATGCCCAGTTGATATCTATGCCGATTGTTCTACAGAATGCATCCTACAGGACTTAACTGGGATAATTTTCCCAAATGTTCACTCATGTGATGCTTTATCTCTTGGCAGGATCTCCCAGCCATCCAGCCCCGGCTAGTAGCAGTCAGCAAAACCAAACCAGCAGATATGGTGATTGAGGCCTATGGTCACGGCCAGCGCACTTTTGGAGAGAACTATGTAAGAACCCTCTCCCGGAGAGCCTTTGAAAGAGTCATGATTGCCAGGCTTCTGACGTTCTGTTTTTACCCTTTAGGTTCAGGAACTTCTAGAAAAAGCATCAAATCCTAAAGTAAGTGGATATCAGAAGTCTCCTGTTTGTATCTGAATCTTGACCCTTTAATTGAAAATTAGACCCCTGTTGGTGGTTGAGCAGGAAATTGGGCTGGAGTAAAAAATTTTAGTTCATTTCTGCCTTCTGTCCCAAATGCTCAGATTTTTCTGTCTTTATTCACACTATTGTCTTCTCTTTTTGGCCATTTGGAAATGGTATTTTTGTTGTTGTTTTGTTTTTGGTACTAGGGATTAAAACCAGGGGTACTTCATTGCATTTTATACTCAACTACATCCCTAATCCGTTTTATTTTTTATTTTGAGACAAAGTCTCATGATACTACTGAGGCTGGACTCAAACTTGCAGTCTTCCTGCCTCAGCCTTCTGGTTTTCTGGAATTGCAGGTGTGCACCACCGTGTCTGGAAAGAAATGATGATTTTTAAGAGCTTGCTGTAATCCTCTGTCCTTTTGAGATTTGAAAGCTTAAATCAGTTCATCCTTAAAGGGTAATATCTAAAAGATGGAGAAAGTAGATGGGAACAAGGAAGGCACACAGTAGAAGCCTTAGATTTTTCTTTTAAGTTTCCTTTTGCCTCATTAAGAGATGGCAATAGCAGTTTATTACATTTAAGGGACAGAGCAGATTGAAAGGTCACTAGAAGTGTGCAAATTATTTGAACTGGAGAGGCCTCCATAAAACATGAGTCAAACATGGTTACCTTTTTCACTTCAGATTCTGTCTTCATGTCCTGAGATCAAATGGCATTTCATTGGCCACCTACAGAAACAAAACGTCAACAAATTGATGGGTAAGATGAAACTCTAAATATGAAAACAAAATTACTGCAACATCATATGACTTAGGCTACCTTCTGTGTAAGAGAGCAACTTACTAGAGCATACCCAATTCACCATGTGTATTGTGGAATTTTTTTAAATAATATTTAGAAAAGTAAAATTAAGAATTAACTATAGGGGCCAGGTGCAGTGGCACACACCTGTTATCCCAGTGGTTTGAGAGGTTGAGGCAGGAGGATCACAGGTTCAAAACCAGCCTCAGCAACTTAGACCCTAAAGCAACTTAGTGAGACCCTGTCTCTAAATAAAATATTTTAAAAAGCCTGGGGGTGTGGCTCTGTAGTTAAGCACCCTTGAATTCAATCCCTGGTACAAAAAAAAAATTAACTTCAGGGTTGAGGGTTATACTTCAGTGGTAGCGCACTTGCCTAGCATGCACAAACTCCTGGGTTTGATCCCCAGCACCAAAAAAAAAAAAAAAAATTAACTATAGAAAGGTTTAACTATATGATAGTGACAGATGGAGATCTTAAGGAACTGAATTTCTCTCAAGGTATCAAAATTAAACTATTTTTTAACAGCTTTATTAAAATATAATTGATAAAAGTATAATTGACTTATAATAAATTGCACATATTTAAAGTGTACAATTTGATAAGTTTGGGCATAAGTTTATATCTCGGAAACCATCGCAATTAAAAAATCAACATATCCATTTCCCCCAAAGGTTTCCCCCTGTCTCTTTGTGATCCTTCCCTTCTTGCTCCTCCCCATTTCTCTTGCTCAAGTGCCTCTTACCTGCTTTATCACTGTAGACTAATTCACATTTTTATAGTTTTACATAAACAATCAAAGTATGTACTCTTATTTGTCATTCAGCATAATAAATTTGAGATTCATCATGTTCGTGCATGTGTTTAGCAGTTTGCTCCTCTTTATTGTTTCTCTTTATTTTATTCCATTGTATAAATATGTCACAATTTCTTTATCCATGGATCTGTCAAAAATTTGACTTGCTTGTAATTTTTATCTGTTACAAGAGAGTTGCTGTGAACATTCTTATACAAGTCTTTGTATGGACATATATTTTCTTCTCCATTGGAGTAAAATACTTAAAAGTAGAATGACTGATTCACATAGTGTATGTCTGATGTGTAACTTTTGTTTTCTTTTTAGTGCTGAGGTCTAAACTCTGTACTGCTCTTTTATCTCTACCTTTTTTTGGGAGGGGTGGGGGGTACTGGGGATTGAACCCAAAGAAGCTTTACCACTAAACTACATCCCCAGTCCTTCTATTTTTTTTTTTTTCAGACAGTTCAGATAAGATCTCACAGAGTTGCTGAAGATCTTTCTGAGTTGCTGAGCCTGGCCTCAAATTTGTGATCCTCCTGACTCAGCCTCCCAAGTGCTGGGATTACAGACACATGCCACTGCAACCAGCAATCTTTAAATTTTAAGAAACTGCCAGCTGTTTTTCAAAATGGTTGTGCCACTTTAAATTTCCACCAGCATTGTTGAAGTTCTTGATAACAGTATATGGTCAGTCCTTTTTTTGTAGTTGTGGGGATCAAACCTAGCTTTGAACATGCTATGCAAGCACTCTACCACTGAGCTACATCTCTAGCCCCAGTCTTTTACTTTTAGCCATTCTAATAGGTATGTGACCAGTTTGATAGTGCATGCCTATAATCCCAGCAATGAAAAGCTGAGGTGGGAGGATCACAAGTTCAGGGCCAGCCCCAGTAACTTAGCAAGGCCCTAAGCAACTTAGCAGGACCTTGTTTCAAAATAAAAATGGCTGGGGATGTAGTTTAGTGATAAAGCACCCCTGGTTTAAATCCCCAGTACCCCCTTCAAAAAATAAAATAAAGGACTGAAGATGTAGTTCAATGGTAACCTCTCAGTTCAGTCCCTATTACAAAAAAAAAAGAAGAAGGAGAAGAAGAAGAAGAAGATGATGATGATGATGATGATGATGATATGGGGTCAAGTCTTTGCATTTATCTAATGGCTAGTGATGTTGAACATCTTTTCACCTGTTTACCATCTTTGATGTCTATATATTTTCAGGTGTCTTAAGTCTTTTGCCCATTGTTTTTCTCTTCTTTTTTTTTTTTTTTTTCCTGTTGCTGGGGATTGAACCCTGAACCTCACACATTCCTGGCAAACACATATCTACCACTGAGCTATATCCCCAGTCCTCTTTTGCTTATTCGTTAATTGGATTGTACTATTACTATTGAAACTAGAGAGTTCTTTGTACTGAATATAAGTCCTTTATCAGATATGGGCTTTGCAAATATTTGCCTCCAGTCTATGGCTCGTCTTTTTATTCTCTTAACAGTGTCTTTTGAAAAACAGTTTTAATTTGATGAAGTCCAATTTATCAGTTTATTCTTTGTTGCTGGGATACAAATGTACACCACTGCACCTGGCTTGTAATATTTTTATATTATCCTTTTAATATCTTTAGAGTCTCTAGTAAGGTTAACTCTCTCCTTCCTGATATTGGTAATTTGTATCTTCTCGCTTTCCCACTAATCCCATCTAGCTAGATATTTATCAAATTTATCTACTGTCAGGGACACCCTGAACAGGAGCTATGCACACACTTTTGAGTCCTGAGTAAAGAGGTACTGGACTGGTATTGTACTCTGCAATGCAAGTGGACTTTACCTCCCGCTTAGATTAGAAAGGTGCATCTCTGGGAGTGGGCATCACCCAATGGGGTTGAATTACACCCACCTGTTTGTTGTAATCCTACCCTTTTGCCCTTATTTGGATAGAGTGTTCCATGGATTAGCTCCCCTCAGAAATAAAAGCCGAACCTCAGAACGTGCCCTCTCTCTCACACCAGCCTCTCGTGTTTTTCTCTTGCCCCACTTTGCGGGAGCTTGAGGCTGTGAGACAGTGAAGCTGTCCTGACGCCCAGAAAAAGGTATTTCCGTGTCTGCGTGATCTTTTCGTGTCACCCCAAATTCAGTCCAGCCACCCCGGTTCAGTAGCCTGCGCTGGACAGAGGCTACAATCTACCTAATTTTTTCTATTATTCTATTATTATAATATGTTGTCATATAAACAAAAATATGTATTCTGGGGTTTATCACATGTGAAAGCAAAATGCATAACAACAGTGACATTAAGAATAGAAGGAGAGGGCTGTGGTAGAGCGCTTGCCTCACACACATAAGACCCTGGGTTCGATCCTCAGCACCACATACAAAAATAAACAAGTGAAATAAAGGTGTTGTGTCCAACTACAACTAAAAGAAATATTTTTTTAAAAAAAGGAGAGAAACAAAAATACAGTGTTGTAAAGTTTTTGAACTGTATGTGAAATGATATACCCCTTGAAGGTGAACTGTTAAACCCTAAAGCAACTAATAAAATCACTTAATAAAGAGTTATTGCCATTGCCAAGCACACTAGCACACACAGAGGCAGAGGCAGAAGGATCACACATTCAAGGCCAATCTGAGCAACTTAGTAAGAAACCTGTCAAAAATTTTTTAAAAGGGCTAGGGATGTTAGTTCAGTGGTAAAATGCTTGCCGGGCATACGCAAGGACCAGGATTCAGTCCCCAGTACTACACACAAATACACACACATACACAAGAGTTATTGCTAATAAGTCAACAAAGGAACTATGGAATCATGAAATGGTAATTTTTTTTTTTTTTTTTTTTGTGTAGTGATTTTGATTTTCATTTACCTAATGGCTAATGATATTGAGCATTGTTTCCTATGCTTATTGATCATTTGTATATATTCTTTGGAGAAATATCTATTCAACTCCTTCGTGCTTTTTAATTTTAACACAGGGTCTTGCTATGTTGTCCAGGCTGGCCTCAAATTCTAAACCTTCCTACCTTATCGTCCCAAGTAGCTGGGATGATAGGCATGCACCACCACACCTGGCTATTTGCACTTTCTTTTTTTTTTTTAGTTGTAGATGGACACAACACATTTATTTACTTATTTTAATTTATTTACTTTTATGTGGTGCTAAGGATCAAACTCAGTGCCTCACATGTGCTAGGCAAGAGCTCGCTCCACCACTGAGCTATAACCCCAGCCCTATTTTTACATTTTAAAGTTGAAATTATTATTTTTTTTCTTTTTTTTTTTTTTTTTAATTTTTTATTGTTGGCTGTTCAAAACATTACATAGTTCTTGATATATCATATTTCACAATTTGATTCAAGTGCGTTATGAGCTCCCATTTTTACCCCATATACAGATTGCAGAATCACATCAGTTACACATCCATTGATTTACATATTGCCATACTAGTGTCTGTTGTATTCTGCTGCCTTTCCTATCCTCTACTATCCCCCCTCCCCTCCCCTCCCCTCCCCTCCCCTCTTCTCTCTCTGCTCCCTCTACTGACATTCGTTTGTCCCCCTTATATTATTTTTCCCCTTCCCCTCACTTCCTCTTGTATGTACTTTTGTATAACTCTGAGGGTCTCCTTCCATTTCCATGCATTTTCCCTTCTCTCTCCCTTTCCCTCCCACCTCTCATCCCTGTTTAATGTTAATCTTCTTCTCATGCTCTTTGACCCTACTCTGTTCTTAGTTACTCTCCTTATATCAAAGAAGACATTTGGCATTTGTTTTTTAGGGATTGGCTAGCTTCACTTAGCATAATCTGCTCTAATGCCATCCATTTCCCTGTAAATTCTATGATTTTGTCATTTTTTAATGCAGAGTAATACTCCATTGTGTATAAATGCCACATTTTTTTTTATCCATTCATCCATTGAAGGGCATCTAGGTTGGTTCCACAGTCTAGCTATTGTGAATTGTGCTGCTATGAACATCGATGTAGCAGTGTCCCTGTAGCATGCTCTTTTTAGGTCTTTAGGGAATAGACCGAGAAGGGGAATAGCTGGGTCAAATGGTGGCTCCATTCCCAGCTTTCCAAGAAATCTCCATACTGCTTTCCAAATTGGCTGCACCAATTTGCAGTCCCACCAGCAGTGTACAAGTGTACCCTTTTCCCCACATCC